ATCAAAATTTTCACGTGTCCGTACATGAGTACTGGACAGTTTTAAGGAGCTGAATTTAAAATCTTTCGGTCATACATGAGTAGGGAAAAGCTGAATCCCCAAAATGCGCCATCTTACCACGTGGTACCCACGTAAGTGTCCGCCAAAGTTTTTTACGAGTAAGCTACTAACTCGCGAATCAGGAAGGCTAAAAAGCTGAAATTTTAGAGTGAGGTTTCCCGTCCACGCAGGTATTAATGAACTCAAACCCAGCCCCCAGGCAAGCGTGGTACCCGCGTAAGGGCCCGCCAAAGTTTTTCTCGGGTAAGTTCGTAACTTGGAGATCTGAGAAGCTAGAAAGCAGATACCATAAGGGGATGTTCCCCGCCCAAGTAGGTATTAATGAGCTCAAAACCAGCCTTCGGGTAAGCGTAGTACCCGTGTACGGGCCCGCCAATATTTTTCACGGGTAAGTTGATAACTCGAGGACCTGAAAAGCTAGAGGACTGTAATATTAAAAGGATGTTCCTCGTGCAAGTAAGTCTCAACGATCTCGAAACCAGACATTGGGTATGCGTGGTACCCACGTGCAGGCCCGTGAAAGTTTCTTCCCAGTAAGTTCCTAACTCAGGAGCCAGGAAAGCTAGAAAGCTGAAATTTTAAGGGGATGTTTCCTGCCAGTTCTAGCGGCCAGTCTTAATTTGTTTAGCTAGAAGCATTTGCAGAAAAAACCGATGCCGGTAGCAACAAAAACTACGGGGAACTATGCAAAAAAACGCATCTTCACACGGGCAGCCCGTGCGTTGGCCAATTATTTTAATCGTTCAAGTATAAAGTTAGTCAAGATTTGGGCCTCAAAGCATTCGATGTACAGAGGGGCGTTTTTAGGAACGTTTTTAAGTTTACAGCTTTGTATGTGTTTGGAGACTACATTCTAAAAATTTAGCTTCTGGTAGTTTGAATGTTTTTATAGCAGTGCTTTTTATGCGTTTTGCGCTGTTTAACAGCAGCACAAAACGACTATCGTCACACCCTTGTCTGTGCGTATATGTGTATATATATATATGTATATATATATGTGTATATTATGTATATATATATGTTTATATATAATATGTGTGTGTGTCCGAATGCATTTCGTCCGAATTTTCAATTTAGGAACCACAGAAGTTAGAAAGCTGAAATTTTAGGAGAATGTCTCTTGCCCGGGCGCCCAGTAAAGTTAAATTCAACCCTCACATAACGTACAGTCCCGTGAAATTTTGGCAGAGAAAATTATCATCCCGTAATCCACAGAAGCTAGGAAGCTGAAATTTTAAAGAAATGTCCTATCCACGCAAGACTCGACAAATTAAATTTAATCTTTTTGCATGCCTGGGTGTAACGTAGGGCCCTATGAATTTTTTGGTGTGGGCAATTATCTCGCGAACTATGAAAGCTAGGGAGCTGAAATTCAACGGGAATGTTCCCCGCCCAAGCGCAACCCGTGGAAAACCAGCTTTCAACTAAGCCTGGTCTCATCTGCGATGCCGTGACAATTTCGGCGGAAAAAATTACTATCTCGGAAGCCACAAAAGATAGGAAATTTAAATTTTAGGAGAATCTCCTTTGCCACATGCAACTTCGCAGACTCAAGTTCAGCTTTCATATACACCAGGGTGTCTTGTACGGCCCAGCGAAAATTTTAACGGAGAAAATTATTATCTGGGGAACCGGAAGAGCTGTGAGGCTGAAATTTCAGGAGGATGTTTTTAGCCTATGCAGAGACATCATAAATTCAAACTTAGCTCCGAAGTATGCCAAGATATAGGGGACATCCTATCAAATCTCAACCGCCTAGTTTTCCGACTTCTGAAGTAGTGGCTTTAGCACCAAAACTGTTACGTAATCGTACTCCGGAAAACAAGGAGGTTGAGATTTGGAAGGATGTTACCCAAAGTTTCAAATTCAACTTTCACGAACCAGTACGAAAAATTCACAGTGGGAAATTCGCAGCGCTGGACAGAATTGTGCAAAACGCATGATCGCAGCGATCACCGTGGCGGGCGCCACTATTCATTTTTTATCGATTCATCGTCCGGTATTTCTACATCCGTCTTCGACATTACGTGCCGGAGTCAAGCATCTTGCCTATTTATCTGCCATCGTTATTATGCGTTTTTGCTGTGCAGCGCTAAAGCGCTGCTACAGCAAACAAAAATGCATATTGCGACGATCCCTGCTGTACGTGTGTGTCTATGTTCGTGTGTGTGTGTGTTTGTCCGGGTATTTCAACTCGGCAACCACGTAAGCTTTGAAGCCAAAGTTTTGTCTGCGAGTCCCCACGCCAAGTGCCGCCCCAGGACCGCGATACCAACCCTCACGTACGTCTAGGCTCCGCGTATGACCATGTGAAAGTTTTGGCGAGAAAATGACTAATTCGGGAACTAGAAAAGCTAGAAGGCTGAAATCCTAAGGGGATGTTCCCTGTCCACGTAGGACTCAAAGATTTCAAATCCAGTCCCAGTTGCACGTGGTCCTCACGTACGGCCCTGTGAAAGCTTTTGGGGGGAGAACCGCTAACTCAGGAACCAGGAAAGTTGGAAGGCTGAAGTTTTAGCTTATCCACAACTTAAAGTACTCAAATTCATTCCATAAATATGTTTGGTCCCCAATTACAGCTCCGTGAAATTTTTCGGCGGGAAAATTCACCAACTCGGGGACCGGAAAAACTAGGAAGCTGAAATTTTGAGGGGATATTCCCAGCTCACGTACAACCTAAGAATTTGAAATTCAGCCCCTTCCCCCGACATGCGTGGTTCTCACATGTGGCCTAGCGAGATTTTTTGGCGAAAAAATTGATAACTTGGGGACCCGAAAAGATGAAAGCTGAAATATTAACACAATCTTCCCCCTCCAAGTGCACGTGGTAGTTGTACGATTAACTGTCTGAAGTTCGAGGACCAGTATGTCATAAAGCAGTTTAACTATTGTGATTCCAAGCGATCTCACAATAGTACAAGATACTGCAAAAACGCATGATCGTACGAGTCCGCTCAGTGCGCGTCGCCAGCTACTCGTCGAGTTCCGCAGAGAGTAAGAAGTGACATAGGGTGTCGCTAAAAAGCCATCATGAACAGGGAGTGGACAGTCATCAGCGTCATCGTCACCAGAATGTCTTCTACAAAACAAAAGCCTACGCTCTTACGTTACAAATGTCAACAAAAAGGCAAGTCTAGACGAAGAAACGCGACTGGTTGATAATAAGTTTTCACTACACAGCATGTAAAATGAACGAAAATTGCGCATATGTTCGTACAAAACGGAAAAGTCCAAAATATATGCTACCTTGACTTCGGACTGAGATCTTCAGAAGATGAAGAAGCCGTTACTGCTGTTCCTTCCTGCACACAGTCCACAGAGCTGAGGTAACCAGCTCTTTCATAGTCAGCGGAATCGATCGGGAAACCCGATGAATCCATTCCGAGAGCCTTCGGATCTCCACAAAATTCAGCTCTTAGAGTGGTGTCCACTTCAAGATGCGTTTTCTTTGGAAAAAATTCAGAGGACTGGCTACTGCTGCATGCCAAATTATTCTGCGATTGATCTGCAGTTTGCATGGCCATGCCATGCAAGCCACAATAAATTTCTTGAACGATATCAGCCATCTTCTGTAACACACTCACATTTGTTTGCTTACAATCATAGCTCCAGAACATTCGTCCATATAATTAAGGCCGGAACGCAACAGGCTTGCCGATGCGACCATGCGTTATTGCAATAAACTCCCAGATCGCTAATAGCAGGAGCGATCTCTGCGCTGTAGCTTAACACTTGAACTCATATTGGCCGCGTTTTGGCCCATTCCGGCGTATAGGAGAAAGGACGTCGGTTGGGATGAAGGTGTTGCATTATAGGGCCGCACGGACCTTCAGGTACATGATTATTAGTTTTTGCGCGAAGTCCAGTCGTTTTTCCCGCAAATGCTCGCTCTTTGAAACCCAGGCTGGAATGCACCAGGCTTGACGGTGCGACCGCACGTTTTTGCACTAAACTCTCGGGTCGCTAATAGCAGGAATAATCCCTGCGCTGCAGCCAAACACTTAGGCTTATATTGGCCATGCTTTGGTTTCTTCCGGCATGTAGCAGAATGGGCGTCGGTTGGGATGAGGGTGTTGCGTTATAGAGCCGCATGGACTTGCAGGTGCATGATTACCAGTTTTTCGCATGAAGCTCAGTCGTTTTTATGCGCTTTTGCCTATATGCAAATTGCAAAAACGCATATTGGGACGACCCTGTCTGTGTGT